CCTTTTGTGCCAGTGTTTAAAGATTTCTTTAGAGATTCAAACGGGAGCGATACTCTATGTTGCGAATTCAATAGCTTGAAATACTCCTCATCTAGTACGGGTACGGAGTACAAGTGGATCACTGAACTTGTCGTTAATCAGGTGAGGTCCGAAAGTTGTTTTTGTGTGACGTCCACTCCACCACGTACGCAACCAACGAACTTTGGAAAAATGTACATGGTGCATTGCACGCCCCTGGAGTGCGAATTGCGAAATGCGAGTCCCCCCGGCTCCCCGCAAACCCTCCAACTAAACCGGTCGCGTCATCGGACGGTGCACAGGCCTCTCGTGCGCCGCGCAGCCGTCTCCAACGGCCGATCCGTGCCCATCTGCCCAACCAGCCGCACTCCCCTCGTTGGGCTCGACATCGACGACCATGGCGGCGGCCTCTTCTGCGGCGCCGGCGAGGCACAGCTGCGCGAAGCTCTCGGTGCCGGTGGAGGACCCCAAGGCGGTGCCGGCGGGCGCCGGCACCGTCTTCGTCAAAGCCACGTGGCTGCCGTCCCGCTTCTCCCTCGCCGTGACCGACGGTGCTGGCGCCTGGGTCGCCGACGCCTCCGACCACGAGGTGCGCCTCCGCGCCGAGCAGTGGGACCAGCCCGTCGCCGATTACCTCGCCCTCGCCGAGCGCTACCTCGCCTTCCAACAGCCTGATTCCACGTACTCCTTCCACGACGCCGGCAAAGGCAACCGCAGGGTCAGTCCGTTCCGCTCTTTTCGCCCAATTCATCTTACTGTTCTGTTGGGTTACGTATGTGTTGTTGAGTAGATTGGATTAATGAGCTGATTCTAGGCCAGGTTGAAAAGCTTGACTATTCGATTTTACATGGACGCAAGTCTGCAAGGGTGGTTAATTTGTTATTTCAAGTTTACACTACCACGTTTGATCCTCATTTAGGTCGTTTTGTCCCATGGGGTTTTAGACTCAGAGTAGTGCAGATGATGTTAAAAGGATATTTCAGGTCTTCTTTTCCTTAGTTCACACAAGTCGCTGATTTCCGTCTGCAATGTTGGATTTGGACCTTTCAAGGGACCTAGCAATCTTTTCTCAAGTTCGTATACGCGTACACTGACCAGTTCCAGAAAATAGCATTAATTAGTTCTTCAGAAAACTTAAAGTTGTAAATATTGTTGGATTAAGGTGCCACTGTATCCTGATTTGATAATACTCATTATAAATATCTGCTGACCTTTCAACAAACGTTTTCTGTGGTACTCATTACTAATGATGGCCCCTTGCAAACTTGCCACATATCCCTTTCAAGAATAAGAGGGAGAGGTGGCCATCTTTTTCACTTACGCAGACAGCATTTATAATTTCAATAGTTTTAAATCATAACAGCAAGACAGTTTGAGGTAGGGTCAACCACAGTTGAGATGGAACTAAGGAACCAAGAAAAAAGTTCAGGCAATAGACCAACCTTCAGAGGTTAGCATATAGACCAGGACTTGGAAGTGAAAAGAACTTTTATCATAGTATGTGCTCACCACCACCTCTAGTACTGATTAGTTCCTTCACATTTAGTTGTCTTGATTATTCATATCTAGGCTTAGTAATTAGTTAGAGTTGTCACTATTTCCAGCTTTTGTACTGGTCTTACCATCTTGCAACATGAAGATGTATTGCACTTGAGTTCAAATATGTTCATATGGCTGTTATGTGTCTAACATTCAGACCAGTCTTCCAGCTTCTCGGATTTCATCTTTGCTTATTTCCCTGGAATTTTTTGCCTTGTTCCATTTAGCTCTCATGGACATTTGAAAGACAAGGTACCAAGTTGGAATGGCGATGGAAGCTGCAGCCTTCACCAAACACGCAGCAGACTATATCTGAGATCCTGGATTTTCTTATGGATGCAAATATACGCTTGAGTGTATGCCCTTTGCTTTACCTTCCTTTTCAGCCTACCTGTGATTCTGAAACAGGTTCTCTAAGCTATGCTTATGTTGAATTTAAAGATGACCAAAGGGTGAATTGATTCTTGAGGTGCAGATGAATATAAACTTGATTTGCCTGAATTATCCCTACCAAGCTACTGAACCACTTCAGCGCATTTCTTACTTGGGCCTAAATTTACTAAATTCTTTATATTTCCTTATTTAGGAAGAGGTTGTGAGGAAAACACAATCCTTCGACAAGTTGAAACAAGAAGCTGAGAAGTGCTTGCAACAAAGTGAAAGATTTAACAATGAGAAAGCTGAGTTCGAGCAAGCCACCTTTTCAAAGGTATAGTTTCTTATGTTACTGTGTTCATTTGGTGACGATTGCAGGTGATATTTTCTTATGCAGCTCCCATACGAAATTCAGCATACTGATGTATACCCTTGGCTTCTTTGCGTTGATGTACACTGTTATTACTTAAAACACTAGTTGCTGGGTCTTGCCTTTTTGCTCCCTTTCATGTTGATGTTTAGATGCCAATTCTTTTCTCATTCAGTTATAATTTTGATCTTAATTTATTTATGCACTACTCACCATTTTTATGTTCCTCTAGTTTGTGGCTGTGTTAAATTCGAAGAAGGCCAAGCTCAGACAACTCAGAGATAAAGTTGTGGAACTCGAATCCGCTGGCAAGAATCCAAAGGAGGAGGTGGAGCAGGAGGAGGAGAACTCAACGGACCGGACAGAGCTCTTCGAGGGAGAAAGTGACAAAGAAGCAAGCATCAACGATGAACCCTCTGAGACAGGCAGCGGCAACGTTCATAGTTCTCCTGAGAAATCCGCATCTACCTCCAGAGGAAGAGGTCGCAAGAGAGAGAAAAGATAGACCGGATGAAGCAAGCTAACTGCCTAGACTGACAATAGCGGGTCCTACTTGGAAAACGTTAATCGTCGTGGTGTGTCTGTCATCGAAGTATCCAGCTAGTCTCATTTCAAAGAGCATGTGTCTTTCATGTACCTTGTGAGGTCCATCTGAAGCTGGCCTTCGTGGTGTATCATCCTAAAGTAGTCGGAAATGTTCTTCACGTGTTTTTAGCAGAGGAAGGTATGTACGGTGAACTTATTGCGAGTCTGCTTTGATTCGTCCATGGAGAATATTTGCATTTCATCACATGTGTGACATGCTTTTCCCCTGCATTTTTGCTCCATTAGCACGGTCGTTTTCACGTCCCCCTCTGAGACATATTTTTCTTTGCTTGGAAAAACGAAAGAAAAAAAAGGAAGAAATGTTTGACCACGTGTTTTTAGTGCATTTGAGGCGAAGACTGCCAATCAGTTTGCAGAGTCAGAATATTCAGAGTCCTCGTGTTGGCTGCTGGACCAAATAATCATCTGCGCTTCAGTTCCACGCGGCAAAACATTTCCTGCTGTGGACCACCACCTGCTCCCCCACAACCTTCGCGGCAGACGGGGAAGCTCCGCTTCCGCGGGAGAGCAAGCGGGAAGACGAATCGAACATGGAAATGAATCCAAGCTGGGGTAAGAACTTACTGCTGATCTGATGCGATTCGTTGGTGCGGCTTTTTCTCAGGGAGCTCTGATGTCGCTGTTTGTTTTGGTTGATGGGTAGGGTTACAGTTTTCTCATTTCTCATTGGATTTTCGTTTGCTTTTACTAGCTCTGGAGTGTTGCTTTACTTCCTTTCGTGATTGCGTCTCAGGAGATGACTTTTTGGAGGGGTAGTTCTTGCTTGGCGATGATGAGCTGAATTTTGCTCTCCGTCAGTTTGAGCCGAACACTGGGTGATGCATATGCTTCGCTCATGAGATGGATCGACTGTTCTTGGTATCTGTTTTAGAAAGGGGATGTTCGTGATATCTTTATTAACCGGGTTTTCATGAAATTTTTTGGGGAGATGAAGTGAATTTTTTTTTCCCGTTTTGCTGTTTCCCGTCCCCAGATTGGCAGTGGAGCATCATTCAGTATAAGTAGTTCAAATGTCTGCATCGAAAGATACAGATCTCCAAACATATCCCCTTGAGGCCATAGATTGACATATTGCCATGACTTCGTCTCTCTCTTTTCGTGTAGCTTGAAGCATCTGCATACCTTCCATTTTCTTTGGGAAAGGCCGTTTAATTCGATTTCTTGTCTATGGTTTTCCATTGAAAACAGTGCAAAGAGTGAGGTGGCCAGGTGGGTGAAACTCTGCTAAGAAATTCAGGTTTTCCTTGGGGCTGGAATCGCCGCTGTGTTCATCTTGGTCAGGTGTGTATTAAACTCTGACACCACTGTTCCCCCAAATTCTGATCGCGTTACCTTCTTTTCTCAGTAATTATTGTATTACGTTGGTCTCTCTATGCCGATGGAATATCTGTTCTTGTTTTTATATTGTGCGTATTTTCATTTTCTTTAGTTAAAAAATCTTATAATTCGCACTTTCTATGGTTTTCCTTCGAAACAGTAGAACTCTGGAGATGGGCGAAACTCTGAATAAGGAATTCAGAACTTCAGATTGTTCTTTGGGGCTGGATTGCTGGGTCCATCGTTTTCAGGTATTCTACCATGACAGACCTCGCTTCCCTGAAGTTCTGATTGTGATTGACTTGCCTTGCCTTCCCGGTACTTTGTTCATAAGCGTGTTGCCTTGTTAGGGGCTGGAATTATTGGGATCCATTTCTGTGTTCTGCTCAACTGTGCACTTTTACGTATTGCTTGGCCGTTCATTCTTTCTGCTTCACCACGAGTCTTATGCTTAGAGGAACTGATTCCCATAGGCACCAGGGCATATTTGTAAAAATTTCAGAAAAGAACTAAAAACAAAAAAAATCGGACTCCACGTCTCCACGTACGCAACCAACGAACATTCGAAATGTACAAGGTGCATTGCACGTCTCCTGCGAATTGCGAGGGTCCCCGGCTCCCCGCGAAGGCGCAAACCCTCCAACTAAACCGGTCGCGTCATCGGACGGTCCACAAGCCTCCCGTGCGCCGCGCAGCCGTCTCCAACGGCCGATCGGGGCCCATCTTGCCGACCAGCCGCACTCCCGTCGTTTGGCTCCAGTCGACCGCGACGACCATGGCGGCGGCCTCTTCTGCGGCGCCGGCGAGGCACAGCTGCGCGAAGCTCTCGGTGCCAGTGGAGAACCCTAAGGCGGTGGGGTCGGGCGCCGGTACTGTCTTCGTCAAAGCCACGTGGCTGCCGTCCCGCTTCTCCCTCGCCGTGACCGACGGCGCCGGCGCCTGGGTCGCCGATGCCTGATGCCTCTGACCACGAGGTGCGCCTCCGCGCCGAGCAGTGGGACCAGCCCGTCGCCGATTACCTCGCCCTCGCCGAGCGCTACCTCGCCTTCCAACAGCCTGATTCCACGTACTCCTTCCACGAAGCCGGCAAAGGCAACCGCAGGGTCAGTCCGCTCGGCTCTTTTCCCCCAATATTTCATCTTACTGTGCTGTTGGGTACAATTAGTGAGCTGATTCTAGACCAGGTTGAAAAAAACTTGCCTATTCGATTTCACATGGATGCAAGTCTGTGAGGGTTGTTATTTCAGGTTTATACTACCCTTTTTTTTAAAAAAAAAGGACGGCAAAAGCTTTGCCGCGATTTCTATTAGACGAACAAAGAAAAAAAGGCAAATGCCCATCTAGTTTTTTGAGCGAAAACTGGGTCCAAAAACCATACAACTCAGGAGAGTGCTTCACTCATCCTAGCAACTTTGGTACAACAACTGAGCAACTATCACAACTCACACCACTACTTCATTCAACTTGGTCAAATCGATCCAACTAAACAACTCAACTATCAACTAACAACCCAACTAAACGACGTCCTGCCGAGCGACACCAAATAACAAGGATCAATCGTGAAACGGATTGCCTAACCACGCCCCAAGGAGGAAACGACGCTAAAAGCGCCGACATGGTAGCCCGCCAAGGAAGGTTTTCATAGGAAAGGACGCCTTCAAGAAGGGAACGACGTCCGCAGATGTCGTCATCCACGCTTTCGCCCCCACCTCAAACCACCTCCACACCGTTGCCGCCAGAGGCCCAACCCTACCAGGAGGCAGGGCGCGGCGCCTAGACGCCGCCCCTAGGAACCTGCCGGAGAGTCCGCCCCCCACCGCAACGGGCAACGCCGGCCAGCAGCAGGCAGAACCGGCCAGCTCCACCATGAAAACCAGCCCGGGGAAGGGGAAAGGCAGATGGCAGGAGAAGAGGGCCGGGATCAGAAGAAGCCCCAGTCGCCCAGCCCACCAACGTCTCCACCCCCTGCCGAGCCGGCCCCACAACAACCACGCCACGCAAAACCTCCAGCAGCCTCCGCGCCGAACCGCCACCGTCACGCCCGCTCCCCAGCCCTCCGTGGGTCTCGGTCAAACCACATCACTGGCACCGGGCGAGGAAGACGCAGGATGCCGCAATGGGAGCGCCAAGCACCAAGCGCCTGCAGCCCCAGCCACCGGCGCCGTTCCCAGCACCTAGGCTGGAGCCGCCGCCGTGGACGCATGGGCTCCCTGCCGGATCCGGCAAAGAACCACCGGATCCAGCCAGCAGGTCACCGGATCCGGCCCCAAGCCGCCGGATCGAGAGGGGACGAGGCCGGCGCTGGACCTTTCGGAGCCGGGCACCGATGGGTCGACGGAGGTCGCCTGCGCCGGATGGGGAGGCAGATCCGGCCGTGGGGAGGTGGATCCGCCCAGCGGCTCCGGCAGCTCCGCCCGCCAGCTCCTCCGCGACGTCGCCTAAATCCACCGCAAGAACTCCATGGGAGGGAGGGAAGGAGGGAGAGGACCTGGCTGCCACCTTCCTTGCCGTCGACCGGACCTCCGGCGTCGGGCTCCGGCAGCAGCCGGGCCGAGGAGGCACGCAGAAGGACCCTGCGGCGGCGGCGCGGGGGTGCCGCCCGAGTCGCCCTCAGGGAGAGCGACGCGGGGGCCTTGCAGTTTGTTGTTTTGGTTTTTTTTTATACTACCCTCATTTAGGTCGTTTTGCCCATGGGTTTTAGACTCAGAGTAGTGCAGATGATGTTAAAAGGATATTTGAGGTCTTCTTTTTCTTGGTCGCACAAGTCGCTGATTTCCATCAGCAATGTTGGATTTGGACCTTTCAAGGGACCTACCGATCTGTTCTCAAATTCGTATGCACAATGCACATACACTGACCAGTTCCATAGAAAACATTAATGAGTTCTTCAGAAAACTAAAGTTATAAACATTGTTGAATTAAGGTGCCACTGTATGCTGATTTGATAATACTTGGGCATCTGCTGACCTTTCAACAAACGTTTTGTGTGGTACTCATTACTAATGATGGCTCCTTGCAAACTGGCCACATATTGACATATCCCTTTCAAGAATAAAAGGGAGAGGTGGCCATCTTTTTCATTTGCATAGGTCACCAGGCTGCATTACGATTCCAATAGTTTTAAATCATAACAGTAAGACAGTTTGAGGTAGGGTCAGCCATAGTTGAGATGGAACTAAGGAACCAAAAAAAAATTCAGGAAATAGACCAACCTTCAGAGGTTAGCGTATAGACTGAGTGACTGACTTGGAAGTGAAAAGAACTGTTATCATAGTATGTGCTCACCACCACCTCTATACTGATTAGTCCCTTCACATTTGGTTGTCTTGATTCTTCATATCTAGGCTTAGTAATTAGTTCGAGTTATCACTATTTCCTACTTTTGTATTGGTCTTACCATCTTGAAACATGATGTATTGCACTTGAGTTAAAATATGTAGATATGGCTAGTATGCATCTACTATTCAGACCAATCTTCCAGCTTGTGGAAGCTCCAGGTCTTGCTTCCTTTTGCTTCTCAGATTTCTTATGCAGCTCCATACAAAATTCAGCATACTGATGTGTATACCCTCGGCTTCTTTGCATTGATGTACACTGTTATTACAGAAAACTCTGGTTGCTGGACCTTACCCTTTTGCTCCCTTTGATGCTGATGTTTATATGTCAATTCTTTTCTCATTCAGTTGTAATTTTGATCTTAATTTATGTATGCACTACTCACCATTGTTGTGTTCCTCTAATTTGTAGCTGTGTTAAATTTGAAGAAGGCCAAACTCAGACAACTCAGAGATAAAGTTGTGGAACTCGAATCCGCTGGCAAGCCTTCAAAGGAGGTGGAGCAGGAGGAGGAGAACTCAACGGACCGGACAGAGCTCTTCGAGGGAGAAAGTGACAAAGAAGCAAGCGTCAAGGATGAACCCTCTGAGACAGGCAGCGGCAACGTTCATAGTTCTCCTGAGAAATCTGCAGCTACCTCCAGAGGAAGAGGGAGAGGTCGCAAGAGAGCAAAAAAATAGACTGAATGAAGCAAGCTAACTGCCTAGACTGATAATAGCGGGTCCTACTTGGAAAACGTTAATCGTTGTGGTGTGTCTGTCATCCAAGTATCCAACTAGTCTCATTTCAAAGCGCGTGTCTTTCATGTACCTTGTGAGGGAGTACATCTGAAGCTGACCTTCGTGGCGTATCATCCTAAAGTAGTCAGAAATGTTCTTCACGTGTTTTGGGAAGAGTAAGGTACCAAAACGATATTCAACATTGTACCGTGAACTGATTGAGTCTGCTTTGGTGCATCCATTGAGAATATTTGCATTTCATCATGCTTTTCCCCTGCATTTCTGCTCCATTAGCACTGTCGTTTTCACGTCCCCTTCCCACACATATTTTCTTTGCTTGGAAAAACGAAAGAAAAAAAAGGAAGAAATGTTTGACCACGTGTTTTTAGTGCATTTGAGGCGAACACCGCAAATCAGTTTGCGGAGTCAAATATTCAGAGTGCTCCTAGCGTGTTGGCTGTTGGACCAAATAATCATCTGCGCTTCAGTTCCACGCGGCAAAACATTTCCTGCGGTTGACCACCACCTGCTCCCCCACAACCTTCGCGGCAGACGGGGAAGCTCCGCCTCCGCGGGAGAGCAAGCGGGAAGACGAATGGAATCTGGAAAGGAATCTAAGCTGGGGTAAGAACTTCTTGCTGATCTGATGCGGTTTGTTGATGCGATTTTTTTCTCTGGGAGCTCTGATGTCGCTGGCTGTTCTGGTTGCTGGGTTACAGATTTCTCAGTGGATTTTCGTTTGTTTTTCTTAGTTCTGGAGTGTTGTTTTACTTCCTTTCGTGATTGCGTCTCAGGAGATGAATTTTTGGAGGGGCAGTTCTTGCTTGGTGATGATGAGCTGAATTTCGCTCTCCGTCACTCTGAGCCGAACACTGGGCGATGCATATGCTTCGCTCATGAGATGGATCCACTGTTCATGATATATTTTTTAGAAAGGGGATGTTCGTGTCTTCGTGATATTTTGGGTTTTCATGGAGATATTTTGTGGAGATGAAGTGATTTTTTTTTCCCTCGTTTTGCTGTTTCCCGTCCCCAATTGGGCAGCGCAACATCATTCAGCATAAGTAGTTCAATTCTCCGCATCAAAAGTCACATATCTCCAAACATATTTCCCACAGATTGACATATTGCCATAGCTTCATATCTCTCTTTTCGTGTAGTCTGAAGCATCAGCATATATTCCCTTTTCTTTGGGGAAGGCCGTTTAATTCGATTTCTCATCTATGGTTTTCCATTGAAAACGGTGCGAAGAGTGAGGTGGGTGAAAGAAACTCTGCTAAGGAATTCAGAAATTCAGGTTTTCCTTTGGGCTGGAATCGCCGCTGTGTCCATCTTGGTCAGGTGTGTATTAAACTCTGACACCACTGTTCCCACAAAATCTGATTGCGCTACCTTCTTTTCTCAGTAATTGTCGCATTACCTTGGTCTCTCTACTCCGATGGAATATCATTTCGTGTTCTTCTATTGTGCATATCTCTATTTTCTTTAGTAAGAAAAAACTTATAATTCTGCCCAAAAAAAAAAACCTTATAAGTCACACTTTTTATGGTTTTACTTCGAAACAGTGGAACTGGAGATGGGTGAAACTCTGAATAAGGAATTGAGAACTTCAGATTGTTCTTGGAGCTGGGTTGCTGGGTCCTTCGTTTTCAGGTATTCTACCATGACAGACCTCTCTTCCCTGAAGTTCTGATTGTGATTCACTTGCCTTGCCTTCTCGGTACTTTGTTCATAAGCGTGTTGCCTTGTTAGGGGCTGGAATTATTGGGATCCATTTCTGTGTTCTGCTCAACTGTGCACTTTTACGTATTGCTTGGCCGTTCATTCTTTCTGCTTCACCACGAGTCTTATGCTTAGAGGAACTGATTCCCATAGGCACCACCGCACAAGGCTATGCCTGCAGTAAAAATTCACAAACACAGTTCCTGCTCTGCTGCCGCCTGCCGGGTTACTGATCCATGACCGTGCTCTTGGGAAGAACTGTAGCACGCCATGAAGTAGAGTTGCATATACCGGGGTCTAGTCTAGGTCTCATGTCAAGCTTACATAGTTTTAAATCACTCGCTTAGGCCGGCAAAATCATTTCCTACCGATTTAATTTGATCTAGGTGTTCTTGTATTCCCGGTGGAATTCAAAGAAGAACCATTTAGGCTAGCTCGGGCACAACCGCACAAGTGTGCTACTGGGTTTCTTCTTGTTTGTTTGTATGATGAAGTAAAAATAAGGAGCGGACTTTTTCTTTTTCTTTTTTTGGAACTGTCCACCTGATATATTGCACAGGAGCAGCAAAGAGCTTGCTGTTCAAACCAAGGGAGATTACATTCGATATCGATGAGACAGAGGCCTCGTTTAGATTGGAGTTAGGAATCAGTATTTGGTACTGTAGTACTTTCGTTTGTATTTGACAATTATTGTTCAATCATGGTCTAACTAGACTTAAAAGATTTGTCTCGTAATTTACAATCAAACTGTGTAATTAGTTTTTTTTTATCTACATTTAATACTCCATACATGTGTCTAAAAATTTGACGTGACGGAGAGAGAGTGAAAAAACTTGCAACCTAAACAAGGCCAACCTAAACAAGGCCAGAGTGTAAACTTTGAGTAACCTAGCCAGGCCTTAGAGCCGTTGGCGGCAGCACTGAAGGGTGACGAGGAGAGGCTTTCACCTGTCCCGACTCGTTGGCGGCAGTAGGGCAGCATGGGGTTCCTCCCCTGCAACAGATCACCATCTCTCTGCTCCCTTCCCGCGGACAAGACAGGAGGAAGGGGAGCATCATAACTCCCGGTCGAGTCCGAGGGGACTGTAGCGAGATTTGGAGATCTCTCCACGTCCAGCCTCTTCAAGTCTACCCCGCCTCGAGCCCCGAGCACTGCGCCGTTACTCCAGGCAGAGGTGGGTGGCCGGGAGTAAAGTCTTCTTCCTCCCTGAGCTGGCCGGCCATGGCGGAAGCCGCAGGGAGCGAGGCATGGAGGGTAAAGATACATTTATGCAGCTTCAGCTCCCGGCGCGACCGAGGCACGCACACGATGGGGCGGAGCGCACAGGAAGAAGGACAGCATGTTGGAGATGGAAACGGCAGAGAACCTCGTAGAACGGAAAGGAGGGGTGATCCAGAAAGCACCTGAGTTCGAGCTGGGCTCAGGCGTGACGATGTCGGAGCAGAGGTCCCTGAGGACCAGAGACTGGAATTCAATCCCAGGCCTGACGCTCACCTGAACCACCTTTCTTCTTGCACTCTTGCTGCTCTTGTTGTTCTTGCGGTCTGCTGCGAGCTGCTTCGGAAGGTCCCGGCGCCGGCGCCGGCGCTGGCGCCGGTGCCGATGGCGATGGGTTTCTGTGGGTGGAGGAGGGCTGGGGAGAAGTGGTGGGAGCTTCGTGGAGTTGTGGGAGGTGGTGAGAGTGAGAGGCCCTTTCGCCGATGAGGTTTGGGGACGAAGGCAATGGAGCGCGACGGCACTGGGTGGGATGAGAGGAGGGGGTGCAGGGGGGGCGCCGGAGCGCGCCTCAGCCGCAGGATGTGGCGGCGGCGACGCGTCCGTCGCCTGGGATCTCAGTGGCAACCCTCTCTCCCATTGTCGATGGAGATTTACCCGGTGGAACCAACATACAGAATTACAGATACAGCGAGTCTCACACCCCTTCGTTGAAAGTCTTACTAACTTTTTAAGGACCAGTGACCAGGAGGTACCCGCCAGGGACATGGTTATACAAGCTTATATACATGTATGTATCATAGCAAGTCATGTCCGTATCACTTTACAAAGGTGTGCGCACATTTTAAGAATCAAACCTCGTCAAATTTTAACAAACAATTACTCAATTAGCTTCTGTAAATCATATTATATGAAAATGATATTAACGAATTCGCATTTGGAAGTACTTTCTTTCGGTTATGATTTTGTTTCTACAAGCATTATTATAGTATAATAACATAAACTAATACTACATCCGTCCCAAAAGAATGCAACTATGAGTTGCGTGCCACATAAAGTGGTTCACGTTTGACCAAATTTCTAGTGAATAATATTTACACTTATGACTTTAAATTAATTTATTATAAAAATAAATTTTATAATTAATCTAATAGTATTTATTTGGTATCATAAGTACCGATATTTGTTTTTATAATTGATCAAACTTAATGTATTAAAATATGACACTGTACCAGAATTGCATTCTTAGAAAGTAGTCAAAGTCTATTTCAAAGACCGTGCCAAATCCAATAATGCCTTCATTTTGAAAAATGGAGGGATACTTCCTTTAATCATAAATATCTTTTTGTTGAAATGGTCCACATTTTACCCAGCTAGAGGCTCGTTTGGCACCGTTTCTACTTTCTAGGGCTACTCCGACCGAAGTCATGTCAAACACTCATCGAAGAAACGGTTTGGAGGAAGAAGCCTCGAGGAGCTGGAGTTATTTTTCTACTACGTGGGCAAAGCCACGAAAACATAGTTCTTCTTCTTTTGGCTCCTCGCCACCTCCTTGGAGTATTTCTAAGAGACTCTCAGTATCCTTTCTAAATGCTAGCAGTAGAGATTTTGGTGAAAAACTATTATTCAACAGCTTTTCTAAATGGTCATCCAAATATAGCTATATTCTATTTCGGATTTTTCGCTAGCCAAAAAAAGAAGACGAGAATGGCTCTCTAGAGTACGTATGAGATATAGAAAGACTATTGAAGAGTGAAAAGATATAGAAAATGATTTTTAAGCAAATGACTTTTTAAATAATAATTTAGAGAGTGAGATTTAGAAATGTTGTTAGAGATGCTCTTATCTAAAACGACAGAACGACCCTTGCGTAGGAGCGTGGCGGGCAGGTCGCGGTAGCATCAGCGGGCAGCGGGCAGCGAGCGACAGTAGACGACGTGGCCACGCTCGGCCTGGGAGCGCGGCTCAGCAAGGCTATACCTGGAATAGGCGTGCAGCTGTTAACAATGGCCGTGTTTTTAAGCTTTTGCCAAAAAAAGACCCTAGAGAACAGTAGAACACTATAATTTCTAGTAAATTTATGTGTGTTATACATCTTTTGAATAACCCTCTAGAAGGATTTAGTTGCTAAAATACAGTTCAAGCTAGCCATTTTTATTTTTCTTCTACATATAACTATAAACCAAATAATACATAGAGGTACAATCGACATATGATTTCTTCTATCCATTCCTACAAAACAGGAAAAAACATTTTGCCGAACATTTCACCAAAGGACTTTAGCTCCATCAGAGAAGTTGCTTCTTCAAAGGAGCCAAAGCCTTGCCAAATTGACCCTAGAAATGCTCTACTTCAACCAATTCCCATGCAGGTGCCCAACGGTGTGTTGGTAGCACAGCACTAGAAGTATGTAATCTCACCCAAGTTCAACGTTAATTACCTCCATCCAAAAGGATACCGTCTCCGTCCGGCAAAGATTGACGTTTTGTCCTAAGTCAAACAATCCTATGTTCCACTAAGTTTGTAGAAACGATTATCAATATTTGTGACGTCTAATGGATTAACTATAAAAGTATACTTCATGATCAATCTAATAATATTTATTTGGTATCATAATATAAGTATTTTTCATATATATATATATATATATTTAGTTAAACTTAAGATTATTTGACTTAGGACAAAACTAAAATGACACTCTTTGCATGGCGACGGTAGTATGTTACAAACAAATTACAAAAGTTATGAAACAGAAGCTTCGTAGGATGCAAATGAATATTGGATAGGAAATGGTGTTTTTTTGGGTTACCTAGTTCATGTCATTTCTTCTCCTAAACTAATTATATGATATGTAATTCTAGTTTATTTTAGCGAGATCTAATGACTAAAACATAGGGAGAGTAGAAAGTTGAACTCTGTGATATCTCTATCCTATCTTACTACTCCATATATCGAGGTTGAACACATACACATCTCAGTGGAATATTTTAGAGGGCTTGCCTGATCTAACATGACTTCAATTTTACAACATCTAGAGAAAAGGTTTGGTTTAGAAAATGGTGAGAGCAAAGGTTGATCGGATTTACGTAGTTACGTTAAATTTTAAAACTTGCAGCTTAATTAATTTACAATTTTATACCACTACGACAAATTGCATTTGTAGGGGCGGCTCCAGATGATCTGTAGCATCAGTTTTGGCAGCCGCCCCTATCAAACCATGACTACAAATCACCGATTTGTAGGGGCGGTTGGCCAGTCGCCCCTACAACCCCTACAAATCGATTTGTATGAGTACAAATCAATTTCCAGAAATCACGAAAAAAGGGGCAAAAATAGCAAATTTTTTTAATCCGAGGAGGTCCCCACCGGCAGCCACACACCCACTCTATGGTTGCAGCATTTTTTCATGATTTTTGCATACTTTGGTTCGGCCGGGATTCGAACCCGCAACTTCTCCCTCGCACGCAAACTCCTCTACCACTGCACCTCACGATTACTTATGTCTACAATCCATTTTGGTTCCCCACATATTATACAAAACTGAGCATAAATTAATTGTTTGAGACCCTAAACTAATTCAAATGAAAAAGTTGTCAACTACAAAGTTTTATAACTTTTCGAGATCTACAACTTTTATATCGGTAGTTTCTCCATCCGAAGTCACTTATAAAATTTGAATTTCAAATATGAAAATTTCGAAGGTAGTTTTTCATGACAAGATGATTTCAAATGAGAAAGTTATTAACTACAAAGTTTCATAACTTTTCAAGATCTACAACTTTCATTTTTACTGTTTGTACATCCGAGGTCGTTTAAAAAATTAAAATTTCAAATTTTTGAAAATTCAAACGTAGTTTTCTTTGACAAGACGATTTCAAATCAAAAAGTTGTCAACTACAAAGTTTCATAACTTTTAGAGATTTACAATTTTTATTTTGGTTGTTTCTCCATCCGAGGTCGTTTACAAAATTTGAATTTTGGTGCTTAATTTTTAATACTCGGCGTCTATTTGTAGGGGCAGTTCAATATTGAGCCGCCCCTATAAATCCGATTTGTAGGGGCGGCTGGATATAGAGTCGCCCCTACAAATTGTAGGGGCGGCTGATAACACCGGCCACCCCTACAAATCCATTTGTACGGGCGGCTCATTTGTCAACCATTTATAGGGGCGGCTCAATATAGAGCCGCTCCTACAAAGAAAGGGAGGTGTTGTCACAAATCGTTTCTGTAGCAGTGTATATACCCCCATTAACCCATGTTAAATTAAACAACGGTTGCTTATTTGTTCCATCACTCATGCATCACTTTCACACACACGTGGGTGATTTGCAAATTCCATGCGTATGTCAAAAATTCACACACACTTAGGACAAAAATGCATGCATGTATGGAAGTTGATCCTCTGAATGGAATGTTTATAGGGTTAGAGATAGATCTAAGTTGACTTAAATTTTACAAAGCCGCCAAAGATGTAAGTTTATAAAAGATGTGGAAGGGTTCATCTTATTGATTGTTGAATTTTAAAACCATGAACTCAGTTGGCATACATCCAACTGGTCCTTGTTTTAACTACGGCTGCACAGCTCCATTATGTATGCAGCATCACTTTCACGCATGTGGTTAGTTTGCAAATTGCATGTTGTAGTAAATAAGAGATGAAACCGACATTTGGAAAACAACTAATAATTCTGCTGATCTAAAGTATTTTTAGATAATTAGAAAAAATAAATATACTTTTAGAGGATGTTTAGATGCAACAAACCCTCTAGTTTTTTTTCCGCAAAAAAAAACTTCTAGTTTTAAAACCATAGTATTCCTAAAACTATAGGCCTTTGGAGTATCAACAACTCCAGATTTGGTGTGTCGTTCCCCCGTGATAGCCTGCCTCATGATGTTTTGTTAGATTCATTTAACAACTGATGCGTAACGGTGATATCCCATCATTAAACCATGTTAAACAACGTAACGGCTGCATGCGTTGTTCCATCATGTGTGCGCATGCATCACTTTCAGACATGTGGGTGATCTGCAAATTCCATGCGTACGCAAATGAGCCAGACAAAACTACCGATCACCTCGCACTTGAATTGGAAAAAGCTTCACAAAACACATGGAGGGCGGAGGCTATCACGGGGAACACACCGAATCTGGAATATTTGGAACCACCAACGAAACGACCACAGCACCATGACTATGCATGGACCTTGCATTTTGGGCTCGTTTGGTTTGGAGCCTGGGAAGATTTTGCCTGGGCAAGGAGGTTCCTGGAAGCTGCCTGTGACATGTTTGGATTGGACCCTGGTGACTTTCCTGGCCCAGGCAATCCAGTCCGCTCCCAGGCGATAAAAAACGAGCGCCTGGCTCTCAGTTGCCTGGCCTGGACGTTGGTTACAGTGCTAAGCTAGTCATCTTATTTATATTTTTTTACTATAAAATCGTAAAAGACAGTACGGCAGACCTACCGCTCTTGCTGTTGTTCTACAGGCAACAGGATAAGTATAGGTGATGTCCGAAAAAGTTTTTGTATATTTTATATTTTCTAGTCTTTCTCCCCTCGGTTGATCATGTTCACGTTAAAATTAGCATAATGTGTGCAGTATAATTATAATATCTTTCTTCCTCATACGTTCTTTCCTTATGACATTTTTTAAATAGCTAGGAAATCTATTAACTTTATTTGTAATTGTAATTTCAAATATATTATTAATTGAGAAAATAGGGATGCTTTTATTTATTTATTATTATTTATAACCATAACCGTGTAAGTTTAAATATGGTATTATACCTTTTATTAGCTTTTAAATATGTACTGTATCTTTTATTAGCATTTCCAGGCACAGGCTTCCAACCAAACAGACTTTCTTCAGACTTGCTTGGCCAGGCAAAAATCATCAACTTTCCTGTCAACTCTCAGGCAACACTTTTTGCCAGGCAAGTGCTCCAGGTCTCCAACCATATAGGCCCTTTATACATATAAACTGCACTGTCACCCTCTGTCCACATGCCACAACAGAATTAACAAACTGAATTTACCGGGCGATCAAATGAAACTTTTTTAAAAGAAAAAAAACAAAGGAAAGGAAAGGGACATCGTACTACTAAGTACATGCACGAACAACTCGGTGAAGAATAGAAGCTTCCGTGCCGTGTCTGCCAGAAACGTGTCCAGGATGGGAGCAGAGCAAGAAGAGAGAGTAGAAGATTACACGTACGGTCAAGGAGCAGTGTCTACTCGTCATTTCCTCTTCAAACATCCACACGCACGCTATCTCGCACGGAGTCATGGTCTCTCCACCGTGTCCGTGTGGCATGCATGCATGGCATCTGACGTGTGCTTTTCTACTATAGCTGTGCCTGGTCCTAGCTCACATGCATCTGTGACTCGTCCTGTTCATGTGCTCTTTGCTTGAATTTCTCCTCCAGTCCTCCTTAATTAGATCGATACTAGGGAAAATGCAAATATGTACGGATTTTTATATGTTTCTTGTACTGTTGTGGGTGGCACAACGTGCAGATATGATGATTTTGTTGACTGGTAGTTAGCGTGGCACTTCTTTGAACAAAATATGTCCATGATTTTTATACTAATAAAGTAAGTGCATATTAAGCCCTCAACTTACTGTTTATATTAAAAGCCCGTTATTCTTGAATTTAACTGGGAAATCCCCATATCATCATCACGAATTAACTGACATTTAAATCTTTAAGTTTGTCTCAGCCGCCACATTTTAGCCATAGCTAAACTCTTTTGGCACCGTAGTCTATGTTTATCTCACTCAGATGGTTTATCAGTGTGTAAATTTGTGAGTAATGCTATAACATGCATTTTTAGTTTCAAAAATGATGTCCTGGAATTATAGTCTCAACCATTTATATGAATCGTTAATGTGGTATAATAAAGTTTTATCTGTAAGTGGCTCTTTTTTCTACGATGCTGCAAAAAAGATTAGAGCAGTAGTATTTTTATTTTTTTTACCTATTTTTGAATTGCATATTTTTGTAATTACGAAATTGTAAAAGGCGATGGTCAATACATTAGTAAAACGAATTACAAAAATTACAAATGTCTATTTATGACTCCGTGGTATGACCACAAAATCTGTGTAAAGAAAACTGGTTTGCCATTCCAATATCGGTATTCAAAATAGCAGTTCTTGTGGGGGTGCGAGCGGCAAATAGAGCGCTGGCTCTTGGTTTCCAAGTGGCCCCTACGTGGAACCTTCGGAGCCGGCTCCTTTTTATCCTACGTGTACGCCAGCCTCCAAACTCCAAAGCGCGTCGCCGCAGGCTAGCAGCACGTGCTCTTTTCCCCCTTAACCCGAATTAACAATTACGAAATCCCAGGTTTGACCTTTCCCAGCCTTGTCCCAGGGGCCCCACCATCGCCATGTCCCCTTCTTCCTCACACGCGGGGCACTGCACCTCCGCCTCAACACGCCATTTTGACCACGTGACCATAATCCTAATCCTCCCCCCGCATCGCACCGGTGCCTATTTAACCCGCGCTCGAACACTTCTCCTCCGGCAACACTTCTCCTCCAGTCTCCACTCCCGCCGCGTCGAGCAACAGAACCTGCGGAGCACGGAGGCCGGAAATGCACATGGACTCCTACAATTACGGCAGCTTCTTCCACGACGAGGCTCCGTTCTACCCGCACGTCGCCGCGCCGCCCTCCCCGGAGCTGCCCTTCGGCCTCATTGCCTCGCCCGGTGAGCCGGAGCCACCCTTCGCGCCGCCGATGCCGACCGCGTTCCAGGACTACGGCTACCCCGGGGCCGTGGGCGTAGGGGCGGGAGCGCCGTTCGGGGGCCCCAACGTGCACGGGCAGGTGACCGAGGCTCTGGGCAGGATGGGCGGGGACGGACTGCGTGAGCAGAGCATGGCAATGGCGGAGGACGGGGAGGAGCAGGAGGAGCCGCGGCGGCAGCGGCAGCGGCAGCAGCCGGCGGGCGCCGCCGCCGTCGAGAGCAGCCGCGGGTTCCGTCACATGATGCGGGAGCGGCAGCGGCGCGAGAAGCTGAGCCAGAGCTACGCGGACCTGCACGCGCTGGTGGCGTCCCGGTCCAGGGGCGACAAGAACTCCATCGTGCAGGCGGCCGCCATCTACATCCACGAGCTGAGGGGCGCGCGGGAGCAGCTGCAGCGCCGGAACGAGGAGCTCAAGGCCCGCATCCTGGGCCACGACGCCGGGCAGCAGTGCGTCAAGGTGCAGTTCGAGGTGGACGAGCCGGCGTCCGCCATCGACTCCATGATCGGGGCGCTCAGGCGCCTCAAGGGCATGGACGTCAGGGCCAGGGGCATCCGCTCCAACCTGTCCGGACGCAGGCTGTGCACGGAGATGAATGTCGAAACCACGGTGAGCACTCTCTCAAATTTCTCAACTTACTGTATCTACCAGCTTTGCTGACAATGGCTGATCCAGAATTTAGGTTGGAAAAAGATACAGCAGTTCAGTCACATACAAGATTCACCGAGTTAGATTGTTGGATAGGAAAACAGATTGTCGCCAGGATAAGGATGAAGAAAGTATGATCAAATTTGGATATATATCTAGGCAATCTGATTAAACAAATAATAGATGATATAACATATTGACACAAAGTAAAATCATATAAAACAGAGTCATTGCACTTCAAAATTCACATTTGGACACTGGTCAACCGTGTCAAACTCCTGCTCAGGTCTCCCTACTTCTGAAAAAAGAAAAAAAACTTCAACGAATCCTCACACATTTTTTTTTTATAAAATCTTCAACAGACAGTCTAATCAATGTGCAACCTCTATTAGCTAACATTAACCTTGACATGTCAAATCAAACAACTACTCCAATATATAGCTGACAACTCTGCCCTTTTTCATAGTACCACCATGTCCATTATTTTTTTATATAAACCGCAACTTGTCAATTGTCAATGCCTCTCCAATTTGATTGTCTGAATATACACGCAGCATCTCATAATTGCGGAGCTTATCATGATAATTGATACGTCCCGCGCAGTTGCTGTTGTGTTTTTTCCCTACTCCCAAATGGATGTGCCACTTGTTACTCGACGCAACTAACCACGCGGTTCCTCTTGGCGTTTTGTGTGTGCAGATTGCGGCCGGCGAGGTGGAAAAGGCCGTGGAGGAGGCTCTCATGCAGGAAGTGGAGAGGAAGCAGCAGCAGCTTGGGGCTGGGGCTGGGAGCGCCGCCCCTGGTTTTGCAGGCCCTCAGGCGTCATCGCACGTGCAAAACGTGTTTTGACACGCGATCCTCCCCCAAGCCCATAGAAAACATGAACCCAAAGCCTCATTTCTTCATTCTTTTAAGAACCGGATGTGCAAAATGAGCATCCACGTCCCTGGCTCTGTTGATTTTTTTTAAAGTACAAATCCGTGTTGTTGGTTTCATTTGGTTGGTTTAAAATTTGGTTGGTCTTTGGTTTGTTGTGAGAGAAAACACTATTGATTTACCGATTTTAAATTTGGTTGAAAACCAAAGCAAAAACGTATTTGGTTGTTTAGAAGTATCACAGCCTCCAAGTGGCATTTTGAGCACGTGTATGAAATTGTAGGACTCGTGTCTCGTGTTGTTACAACAGAAAAGAGACGTGCAGACAGTGAGGACTGAGGCCATATGGACCGGGATCAAAGCTCAAAAGGGGCCGGAGGAAGCGGGCGAGAAATGAGGCCGAGGAGGGGCAGGCACGTTCCGGTCGTGCCGTGTGGGCTTTGTGCTCTGTATATTCCGAGCCGCTGCGGCAACCGGTGTGCACTCTCCGTGGTTACAAATGGTGTCGCCTTTTTATTTTATCGTGTGGCTGTAAACCGAAGCCATCGGCGTCAGGGGGCACCAGCCTCGCGTGTCAGCGTCGTGCTTAGTTGACCGGAGCAGATATTTTTGGTTTGGATTAACCGCTTCCTGGAACTTTCACGTGAGTTAGCTGGTTAGAGTTGGGCTCTGAATTATTATGTGCTGCAGTGACGTACGTCTCTGACACTGATATGTAGTACTTTTATTTATGTTAGTGTTATCCCTCGATGGAACTAGGGCTAAGTGCTAATCATCGTTTACTTGTTCTTACAAATCACAAGTCCAACCGTGGGACCAGCTACTTCCTCTCTGGATTGTAATCCTTATTTCCAGTTAATGAAATGCACTGTTTTTCCTCTCTTTTTTGGGGAAAAAAAAGAAAACAAAAGAGGTCCTAGTCAGCCACTTGGGCCTCGCAAGGTGCAACCGCACGCTTATTCGGTCAGCGGTCTGACTCTCTAGGACCCACCTGGAAGGGACTAGGCTGCCGGAAATCTTTCCGTCCGAACGTTCCGACGGGAGCCGCGCTCCGAGCGACGAGCGCGCGAATCAGCGGGCACGCGGGAATCAGCAGGAGTGCAGGACACCGCGAACTACCGAAGCGACGGCGCAGAGACGTTGGTTTCTCTCTTTTCTTTTTCTTTTTGTCTTATTCTTCTCTTTTCTTTACCTTTTCTTTTCTTTTCTTTTTTCTTTATCTTTTTCCCCCTTCGTGCTTCATTTTTTTATTTTTTATTTCTTTTTTGTTTGATATGATATTTTACTTTATTTTCATTTTTTATATTTTTTAAAGTTTCTTTTATTTCCACAACGATGCTTAAGTTTTCAGGGTAAGTTGTTGTTCAGTTTTTTTATTTTCTTTTTTCTTTCTTTTCTATTTTTGTTTTTTATTTTTTTCTGTGGTGATTTTTCTTGTCTTTAATTTATTTGTATTTTTTAACTTTCATTCATTTTTTCTTTCTTTATTCTAATTAATTTTTTTGTTTATTTTTGTTTTCCTTCTATTTCTATTTCCTATTTTTCTTTTTTCTGTTTACTTGCTTTTGATTCTTTTCAAATTCACTATGTGAACTATTTAAAATTTCATTTCCATTTTTTATTTTTTTTATTTTATATGTTACATAAGATATATTCATATTTATGATGTATACATTTTTTTAATTCTATTTTTTCTTATTTAAATTATTCATTTATTTTATTTATTTTCTATATTTATCATTTCTTAATCATGTTTTTATGTGTATTTTTTATTTGTTATTTTAATTTAATTAATTATTTTCTATTTTTCTAAACTATATGAGATATCTATAATGTTCACGTAATATATATGTGATGTTCTATGATCTATTCTGTGACGTTCGCGTTCTATACATATAGTGTTCTATGATATATTTTGTGATGTTCACGGAGTATACATGTGATGTTCTATGATATATTTTATGATGTTCTATTATGTTTTTTGTGATGTTCACGTGGTATACATGTGATGTTCCGTGATATATTTTTGTGATGTTCACGTAATATACATGTGGTGTTCACGTGGTATACAACCAATGTTCTATGACATATTTGGTGATGTTCACGTTGTATACATGTGATGTTCTGTGTTGTTTTAGGATGTTAATGTAGTGTACACGATGTTTTATGATGCATTTTTTGTTTTATATTTAATTTATTCATTTGTTTGCTTATTCAATTTACTATAATTAATGATTTTAATATGTTATTTCTTTCATTTTCATGTTTTTGCTTTCTCATTTCTTGTATTCCGTGATATATTTTTATGTATTTTGTGATGTTCAGGTATTATATATGTGATGTTTTATTATATATTTTGTAATGTTCATGTAATATACATGTGATGTTCACGTAGTATATATAAGGTGATTTGTGATATATTCATCAGTGATGTTCACATACTATACATATGATGTTCTACGATATATTTTATGATCATGTAATATACATTTGATGTTCTGTGATGTATTTTATGATGCTCATGTAGCATACATGTGATGTTCTGTGATGTGTTTTATGATTTTCACATATACATATGATGTTTTGTGATGTTCATGTAATATAAATGTGATATTCACGTAGTATACATGTAATATTCTATGATGTATTTTTATGATGTTCATGTGCTATACATGTAATGTTATATGATTTTTTTTATGTTCACATGGTACACATGTCATGTTCTTTGATGTTTTTAGAATGGCCACATTATATAAATGAGATGTTTCACGGTTATCTTTTGAGTATCCATATAGTATCCATGAAATGTTCTATGATATATTTAGGTTGTTTAAGTAGTTTCTATTTTTATATGAACGTTCTTTGGTGTTTTAGTTTTTTCTTTCCTTATATTTTATCTATTAATTTTGATTACTATTGCTACTCACGGCCCATATCTTCGGTGGGATGATGGTATGCGTCAGTAACTTCTTTTCCGCCAAAAAAAAATTAGTACACTTTTTTCTAGTTAGACTCCGACTGAACCATCATTTGCATGCGTCAGTAACTCAGTATGAACTGAACTTTCGTTCATTCAGTTCAAGGCACGCACATAGACTAGACTGAGAAATCCAACTTTCACGATCGAATTCATGATTTAATTGTCCTCCGTCTTTTAAAATTCACCAACCTCAATCGTGGAATCCAAATAATACCAATATCTAAACACCCCCCTCAGATTTTACGATCTAGCTAATCTCTAACAATCGAATACACTAGCATTCCACGATAGGAGACGACCACAGCAAGGCCTTATTCGGAAAATCACAAGGGCAGGTTAACCTGAGTGATATTCCTCTGCACTAATTTATAGGTCGCTTTGGTAATTTTAGGACAGACTAAGCAAAGAAACCACACTTCTACACCTTAGAATTAGTTGCAAGCATGAAGCTATAAACTCGTCGCCCACAGTGAAAGGTGTCATGGACATCTTCCTCGCACGCCCACAATAGCTCACCTCGTTGTGATCTGCTGCATCTTGGGCTCTTGGCCACCAACCCTCACGCGCATGGCTCTGGGGCATGTCTGGTGCTCTTTCCTAACCAGCCTGGCTCGCATCTTGGGTGCAGGTCCCCACTGGTCAGGCTCAGACGATGCAAAACCTCTTTGTTTGGTTGTTTTGTATTGCTATGGCAGGCTGTATCGAGCTGTTGATTGATTGCATGAACTTTTGACACGATCTAGTGACAACGCCAAAAACAACCAAGCTACATCACGCTAGCTAGGCCCGTGAGAAACAGATTTCATTCTCGCTTCTGTGGAGCCAGACTAGTGCATGGATCTTGCATGAGCTGAGTCTGCATACATTCAAACAACCCATATACGTCCAACCAAACACACCCCCAGTGTTCTCGTAGGAGCATGTCCTCTGCAGTATAGCAACGAACCACAGGGAAGAGAGATGATGAAAGGTTGGAATACTCATAGATTATATACTCGGAAAAAATTGGACGCACCCTCCCCAACCCTGTTTTTTTCATGTTGTTGTACTAGTATTTGTTTTGGGGGAAACCCTCTGAGCTTGATTTTGTCCACCCGCAACCACACGTTGTTGTTGTCTGCGGAGGAGAGAACACAGCCTGCCGTAATACGTCAGTTGATAATCGAAACAAATTCAAGTGAGGAGATGGAGAGAGCTAGAGCTGCATAGATTTTTTTTTTGGGGGGGTGGGGGGTTCTATAGTTGTGACCGTGTTGGCAGTATGAGGGGAGGATCGAAAAGAACAAAAGTAGCATGGACATTTTAGGAAACAATAAAAACGAAATGGCTTGATGAGGTTGACTGGATTGATTACAATTTGGTAAAAGTGATGGGTCTAGCTAGGATGAACTACAAATGGATATGTATGGCCCCGTTCGCTTCATTTTGAAAAATAAGCTAAAACATCACTGTTACAGCTGATTTGTTGTGAGAGAAAAATATTGTTCGACTAAAAAAACAATTTGAAAAAATGCGATTATAAGCCAAACGAACAGGGCGTAAGGAGTAATAGTTTAATGCTCAAGATGTGATGTTGCTCTAAGACGTCGTTGTCGAGTCACCGAGAGTAACAATAGTGTGTGTAACGCCCCAGCTTAGGAAGACGACTAAGATTCACTCTACACGTTGAATGGACCACACCTGCTAATTAACTCTCTTGCGCTTTCGTCCTCGCTTCGCGCAAAAGGTTCAAACCGGAGTTAATTCCTTCACAGGCTGAGGCTTTTAAGTTGGTTCAGTTTCCCCTCAGGTTCTGGTATGGACTAATTTCCTATAGCTACAGTACTCAGATGTTCAACCCAACTTGACCTATTTAGTGGGGTCTCACATACGTCCACCCTTGAGGACTCGACGTCCTCGTCGAGGGCCGAACCAACCTACCCAAACGGGATAAATATCCAGGATCGACTCTTTTGGTCACGTCCATATTTCCAGCTCCCCCACCCAAGTGTCA